GAAGGGGAATGCAAGCTTCGGACAAGAGCACGAACCACTCGTTTGAAAAGTCGAGCAGGGCATTTGCTAGGAGACGCCTCTCGGCATCGCACATACTCATCATGCCCCACTCGGCGACCTTTTTCAAAAAAAAANAAAAAAAAAAAAAAAAAAAGATAAGATAAGAAAAGAAAGAACATGAGATTATCATCCAAATGTGATGAATGAATATTTTGTAAGAAAACCAGAATGAAAAAAGTAAATAGTGTTTTTAGATGCTTTAGAGACATAAAAATTACGAAATTTGTTGTTACAAATGCAAACACCTTCGAGTTCTGCTTAATATACTCAGGTGCTTTACATTTTATCTATTCGAATATTTTTCTGTTTACTTCAAACACTTATAAAATACTTACAACATAATTCGCCAAACACATGCTTGAACAAGACTTGCATTTGCCATTATGTGTTGTGTATTACAAATTCACAATAACATTTTTAGTCATCTTTGGTAACATTTGTCGAGATTTTCAAACGAACTTTCTGAACTAGCATGTCACTTATCGAAATCTATCACCAACTATCAGCACTTTATTGGTTTATAAAAAGCAACTAGACCTATTTAAGGGATGGAAATTTACTGCCTGTGCCTGTGGTTATTTCTGAGATTTACCTTGCTAATAAATTGACACTAAATGACACAAGAAAATGCACTGCATAGATAAACACCAAACAACCTAGATGTCTTTTCAGACAGAATAAAATCAAGATCAGTAGATATTTTCAACTGTTAATCCATCTGATATACTGAGGAAGGAAATTATTATTTTCTGCTCCGAAAAATATCCTGATTTTTGACCAATAATTTCTACTTTTCCTAGGTAAATAAATGAATCTTCAGATAATCAGCTCATCCAAAAACTAAAGTACATGTAGAAACATGAAAGCCAGACCGTAAAATAAGATAAATATGCAATTTTAGCTCCTGTTCCAAATTCACCACATTCACCACGTTCGATCTTGTATGGTCTATTCATTCTTAAAAGATGGACATGCCCAAAAACCACTGAGACTAAAGTGAAATGAACTGCCAAAGAATATGACCAAAACCATACATATATCAACCACAAACACATCAAACATTAAATCCACCAGAACTTCATTAAGTAAAAAAACGCGTGCACTCAACTATTTTACCTGGCTCGGAATTTGCCTGCCATAGAAAACTGACTCCGGCAAGAACTCAGGCTGATAAGAAGGCAAAGAGTGAATATAAATCGAATAAAGATTCTCATTCCCCTTGAAGAACTTCTCCCACAAAGGCGCCAAAGGCAAAGGACCTCTAGTCAAGAACATGAAAGCAATCTTGGGATTCCTTTTGAAAGGGTAACTTTTTATTTGCGGAACGAATGAAGCCCGCCAAAAAAGCTCGGTGTCATTCATACGATGCGATAATGTTGAAGGAGGTTTGACCCAACTCTCTAAAGTTTTCATTTCTTGAGCACAAGGCAAGAATCTTGACTGAATTATAGTGATTTCGTTAGGTGCCTTGAGATAACGGCTCGCGTGAAAACTGAGAAAGGAAAGAACTATGGCTAGTCCCAACAAGAGCAAGAGAAACTGAAGTAATCTTAGTGGGAAGGGCCTGTTTGGTTGGTTTAAGGTTCTAACAACAGGTTCTTTGCATTGTTCAAGGGTGCTAAAACTCCCCACTCTTTGTGGCATCTTCAATTCAAGGCAAATGGGTTTTCTTCTAAGCAGAAATCAATCCTAAATGAAAAAAAAAAAAAAAATAAATAAATAAATATGAGATAAGGAACAAATGATCATTTTTTATAATTAGTCGAGTAAAATAGGGAAAAAAATTGAACTTTTTTATTTTTTCTGCTACATACATTGGGAGAATGCTACCATCCCGTTACGGGATTTTAGCGATTTTAGCCTTAGATATACACATAATCTAATAATGAGCACACAATTTCACGCTTAAAAAATATAACGGAACCATCCCGTGACGGGATAGTAGCATTCTTCCATACATTGATTCAAATCCGAATAATCAGAAAAGGCCAAATAGCAAGACATGGTCTTTCAGGAAAACCCAATAATGAAAACGCTATTTAGACAAAAGAAAAACTATAAAAACTGTACCACTTACCAAATGAGAAGCTCCGGACATGAAAGCCCTCACCTTTGCAAACCAAATTTTGGGACAACAAACCCTTTTGCAGCTGATTTTCACAGAGATGTTCTGTTTCATCGTTATGTGGTGGGCTTGTAATAAATTTTCACACATCAAATGAATACAGTCAATGAATTTTAAAACAGTAACATCAACAACGTAGTTATGAAATTTCATGAGCAAAATTTTGAGAAAAAAGGATACGTTTCGAGTTTTGGGAAATGAAACTGATTTTCTTGTTTTTGGAGTGCGTAAAGGCTCAAAAACAGCGCCTTTGGACAAGGAAAATGTAGCATTCATGGGATGTTTGTAGGCTGATTTTGTGAAACTGAATCTTGATGAGGGATTGAGAGATATGTCCGAGAGTTTGGGAGAAAAAAAGGAAAGAAAACATAGAACGTGGTGAGATTGAATTTTGAATTTGTAGATGATGGAGACAATCAGTGTTTTAAATATTGTACCGGACATTATACCGGACGAGCCAACAGAACGCGGTTCAACCGATTCGATCAGTTTTTATCGTTTATTTTACCATTATTAATAAATATTAAATTAATTTGTTATTACAATATAAATAATATACAAAACTAACTTTAATTAATACTAAAATTAATAAACATCTAATAACAATGTAAATATGTTAAAATGAAGTGTAAAACTTTCAATTTATATAAAAAATAATAATAAAAATATATTACAAATATTTTTTTTTTCAAAAAAAATGGCATAAACCGGTATTTTGACCGGTATTTTGGCCGATAAAACTAGTATTTTCTGATATGAAACCGGTATTTTGTCAAAACGGTATTTAGAGTGTAACCGTACCGGTCGGCCATCGGTATCCGATATTACCTATAATACCGGCCGGTAACAGTCAGTATTTAAAACATTGGAGACAATTATAGTACAGTTGTGTTTGCACACGGGAGATTTTACGGTCTCGTTATGGAATTATTCCGTTGGGTTTGTAACCGTTAAATTAACTATCCACGACCATTTTGATGATCTAACGGTTACATATTCATCGATGGAATGATTCCGTAAATGGGACCGCATTTCCCTGCATATGGTTCGTTTTGGTGGAGAAAAATTGACAAATAAGCCCTAAACTTTATTAAACAAGTGAAATTTTAATCTAAAATTTTAGGGAGTAATTGGATATTTTCTAACTCTATAGTCTCGCCTGAATTCTTTTTCAACAATATTCCTATATTAGATCTAACTTTTTTTTAAAATAATTATTAATCTACTTTCACATTTCTTTCTTAATTTTTATATCACAACAATCTAATAATAGAATTAATCATTACCAAATGTTTTTAAATAAAATCTATTATTAATCTCTTTACGTATTTTTCTATTATTCCCGTGCATTTGCACAAACAACAAGATTTTTTTTTTTTTTTTTTTTTTTTT